TTTATTATTATTTTTTGTTTAGTTAATTGTTTGAAACTAAAATTCCTAAAATGTTATGTTACTGAATTAGAGTATACTAAACTTTACACATTATATAGGCTACACTAACGTGACGTTTATGTGGTTCGTTTAACTATTATACGTGATGTACATTTTCTGGGGGGGTGGTTAATGAAAATGTTCCAAAATGCGACATTCATTTCTTGACGACTTAATACATAAAGTGATGTTTCCCATAGTGTAACAGAATTACAGACAGATTGATAGAGATTTGGGAAGAACTATTTTCTTCTCTACACACAAGATCTCAAGCTAATATTGTCCAGTAAAAGCAACTGTCCTTTGTGTTTAAACAATACATACAATGTTGTTTTGTGTTGGTAATAAAAATCGTTTTTGCGATGTGCTTACATTTGTGTCCAGTCTTTTTCTTTGTACAAGCTCAGCTAGTTTCAGGGAAATTCAGAATTACTTCATAGTATTTTCCGACCGAATCTCCTTTTATATGGCAGATCTACCTTATTAACTCTTGCTGGGAAATCAATTTCACCTGAATACATCACAGTGTATCTGATGGCCTACTCTTTAAAAAATCTAGTACAGAATCTTTTCAGAATAAGAAATAGCTTAAACCTCTCTTTTTTTCTTCTAAAAACACCATTAATCATCCAGTGTACTTTATTAAAAATATACTTTGTATACATTTTGTTGTTTTTAAAGTTTTTTCGGTTTCTAACTCGGCCAAAGTTAAGAAACTCGGTTTAGCTCTGTGGTACATTTTTTGACGTTTCTCAAGCTATCGCGGTTGTTATCTTTGTCTAAGGTTGCCAACAGCTGAGAATACTACACAATTATTCAATTAAAATAAGACTATTGGTGATTGACAATAGGTGTGAATAGTAGATGGATAATTATTGAAATTGTGTAGTATGAACCAACCCCCAAAACACATTTAATGATGCTCATTAGTTGATGTGAAATCACGTCATTATAATGTCTATGATGTGATTGATTATTTGTATTTTAAATAAAACACAAAAATACAATGTTAATCATCTCCCAGTCAATTAGAGGTAATTTTACAGATTTACAACGTTAAAATTTGTGGCTAAATTCCCTGTGGTAGATATACCACAGCTGTAGTTTTTTGCGCGCAAACAAAACTTGCAAGCACATTTATTGCTCACGGTGACTTAGTGGAAAGTCTTTAAATTATAACGCTAAGTGAGGGTTTCGATACCTGCTGTGGGCAGAGCACAGATGGCTCATTGTGTAGCTTTGTGCTTAACAACAAACAAACACTGTTATATAATAATGCTTGGAGACGGCTTGAATGGGTAATGAAGAAAAACTTTAATATAAGTTTAACTTAACAGCAAATGTACAACGTTTCGACCTGATGATGACAA